TCAGAGCCTGACGCGGGGCTCGAACTCACGGACCGCGAGATCGTGACCTGGCTGAAGTCGGACGCTTAACCGACTGCGCCACCCAGGCGCCCCAGATGTCGATATTCTTAAATATTTTTTAATAAATAAACTTTCATGTGACTTTTACCCAAACTTAACACAACAGCAATTTCTAGTATGTCACCTTTATCAAGTTTTTCCTATTTATTACAGTTTTCACTTTAACATTCACTTTTTCATAGTTCTATAACATCTAATTAATTATATTATTATTATCAGGTAGAAACAGCATAAAAAGATTTGAGAACAAGCATAAGTGAACCTTAAAAAAATCTGTAACAACTATAAGCTTCCAGGTAGCTGTAGGCATCGGTTGGTATGACGGAATGGAAGCATGGGTTAATCACACCCACCCTTTCTATTTTGTTCATTATTAAAAATGTTTCTAAAGACCACTTTTTTTTTTTTTTATCAGCTGTGTTGTTACCTTTTTCAAGATTATAATTTCATCTGTTAGGAAAGGTTTGACATGAACTTTATTTAATGACCTAAGATACTACAATTGTATGCAATGTTTTAAGCAGTCAACATATTCACTAAAATTCATGTATATCTTTACATTTTAGACCTTACTAGCACTGGAATGCATTCAATTTAAGTTACTCAAGCCATAATAATGAAAAAGAAGTCATGTAATCACTTTTGATTTAAAATCAAATTATATTTTAAGTTTTTAATACATACACCATGAAACTTAGTCATTTAGAAGTTTCTAAGAATTTCACAATGGAAATTCAGAATAGTAACAATGATGTATATACATAGTCCTTACTGAGACTATGATGTGTGTTGGGCACTATGCCAAGTGTTGTATGTATGACTCTCATTAAATTTTCAAACCATCCTGTTACATTTTATGATCCCCATTCTATCCATAGGAAAGGTGAACCTCAAATGGTCAAAAAGTGCTGTTATATTTATTTAGTAAAAGGCAGAGATGAGAGTCAAATGCAAGTGTGTACGACTCCAAGGTGCATGTTCTTTTTATACACTGAATATTGGAATAATTGTCCTTACCTCAAACTCTGGACAGAATGTAAAAACAAAGGTCTCTCCAGTACCATAAAAGCCATCACTCACTTTAAATGGCTCAGATGCTAATGCACCAAAGACCTAAGGATTAAAAAAAGGCATGTTCAATGACACGATTATTAAATTTGTTTCATTAAGCATGATTTCATTATTTATGTTTAAGTAAAATGCAAAAAAAAAAAACAACCCAGAAATGTAATATAGTTTTTTTTTATTTTTTTAATTTATTTATTTGTTTTTAAATTTTTTTTCAACGTTTTTTATTTATTTTTGGGACACAGAGAGACAGAGCATGAACGGGGGAGGGGCAGAGAGAGAGGGAGACACAGAATCGGAAACAGGCTCCAGGCTCCGAGCCATCAGCCCAGAGCCCGACGCGGGGCTCGAACTCACGGACCGCGAGATCGTGACCTGGCTGAAGTCAGATGCTTAACCGACTGCGCCACCCAGGCGCCCCTGTAATATAGTTTTTATCTATTTCTACTTAAAAAGGGAAACATGAACAGCTGTTACAAAATTTGCATTATTGCCAAGTACAAAGCATATCAGCTTCTCAATAGGAAATTTTTCCTAGTTTTGAAATCTTAAAAAGATGCTTATAATAACAATTAAAAAATCTTAAAAAGTGATTATCATATTTCAGGAGAACTTAAGGATAACACAATTCAGTGGTATTACATATAGCACTTAGGAAAGCAAAAGCCCTTCAGTACAGGTAAACATTCTGCTACTCACAAGGTATGCTACTTTTGTCTTCATCAGGCCATAAATTCCATGAAGGAAGGCCCTGGGTCTGAATTGCTTGGACCTGTAATGCTATGCTGCTCTTACACAGTACAAGACACATAGGAAAATAACCTAAAAAAAGAATGAGTGAATAGGAAACCTGGACAAGTAATTTCAGTGCTCTGGGTCTAAGTTTCCACATCATAAAATGGGAAGGTAGAGAGTTTTATGGATGATTTCTTTAAAAAAAAAATATTTATTTTGAGAGAGAGAGAGAGATAGGTAGTACACATGTGCAAGCAGGGGAGGGGCGGAGAGAGAGGGAGAGAGAATCCCAAGCAGGATCTGCTCTGTCAGCCCTGAGCCAGACGTGGGGCTTGATCTAACAAACCACAACATAGTGACCTAAGCCGAAATCAAGAGTCGGATGCTTAACCGAGTGAGCCACCCAGGCACCCATTTATAGGTGATTTCTATAGTCACTGTCTCCCCTGATAATCTTTTACAGTCTTAATTTAAAAAAAATTTGTTTTTTTACATTTATTTATTTTTAAGAGACAGAGAGAGACAGAGCATAAGTGGGGGAGGGGCAGAGAGAGAAGAACACACAGAATCCGAAGCAGGCTCCAGGATCTGAGCTGACAGCACAGAGCCTGACGCGGGGTTTGAACTCACAAACTGTGAGATCATGACCTGAGCCGAAGTCGGATGCTCAACCGACTGAGCCACCCAGGCGCCCCTACAGTCTTAATTTTTAAAACAGACTTTCTTATTGAAAGGTGTACATTATAGAAACACACAGCTCAACATGGAATTGTCACAAAGCAAAGTCCCATTTAACTTCTTCATTTAGACCAAGAAACAGAACATAAGCACTTCACAAAGTGTGTTTGTGCCTCCTGTGCGGTACCACCCCCATTGCCCAAAGGAAGCTACTAGCCTGAATACCACAGATTTGTTTGGTCCATTTATGAACTTTCTTTAAATGGAATAATAAGAACATTACTCTTTAGTGTCTGATTCTTAACTCATTATGTTTGTGATACTCATCTATGCTACAGCAGGTAGTAATAGTTCATTTTCATGCTGCAATTACCTTTCATTGGGTGTATAACTTTGGGGAAGATGATGAAATTCTTTTAGTCATAGTTAACTTTTCTTTAAAACTGTGATGATAAAAGTATCAATCTCCTAGGGCTCTGATGACTAAGCAAGACAATGCATATCAAGTGATTAATCAAGTGTGCATAAAAGCACAATTAAGGGGTCAGTAGTAGTGCCTTGTTTTTTAAATTAATATTGCTATTTCATCCTCTCATTGTTCTCCAATCCTAGTAATTGACCCCTTGCTATTTCAGGAACAAACCAGTATTTCTTTTGCTTATCTATGGTCTTGTTCTTGGTATCATCCTCACACAATTATCTTCAATTTTCAAAAGTTTACCTATGCTTCAAGAAGACTGTGTCAGTTTTCACCCTTTCCACAAACTTCATTCTTATCTTGTCCAAATAGATATGAACGACCCTTACTCTACACACTCCTTTTGCTTTCTCTAGGTTCTTACTACACGTGGCATCATATTTTGCTTGTCCAAGGAGATACTGGTATACTTACATGTTCTTTTCTACCAGACTATAATCCCTTTAACTATTCGTGCTCATATCTATCCTCTGTAGCACTCAGCAATGCCTTGTATATTAGAAGTATTCAATAATTATCAGTTAAACTCAATAAAATGTACTAATAAAAGTTATTTTTATAAAAAAATATTAAAAGTTACTATTATTATAATCTCTTAAAGGGTAAGGTGTCTACGTAGTGACTTTTTCATACCTGCCCATCACTGTCTTTAATCACCATCAGCACTGGGGTGTCTAAACCTGTCATTGTTCGATAAAGGGTCTTCAAGCTTGTGCCATGCTTCCCGGTGCCATAAACAAGAGTCCATGGATAGCCAATTGTTCTTGGTGGAAGATGCTTGGTAAGCTTTGAAAATTAAAACATTAACATTTAACTTGCTAACTAATTGTCAACGTTCAGAATACTAATGCCGGCTGCAATTTCATGGTACTTCATAAAAAGTAGGCTACAAAAATAAACAGTATATTCTCAAAGATTCAGAGATGCTTGAAGTATAACTATGTATTTCTCAGCATGAAATATTAACTGTCGCCAGGAACGGACAAGGATTAGAAGAGAGACAAGAAACAGGGATTACTTATTGTTTGTGTCCTCTGTATTAAAAAAAAAAAAGTTCTAAATGGACTATTAGCTTAATTATTAATAACCTCTCAAATAACGGGCTCTAGAGACAGACTATTGGAGACAGAAATCAAACTTCAACATTTTATAGCTGTGTGACTCTGGACAAGTTACTAAATCTCTTTATGCTTACATGTCTTCACGTATAAAATGTACACAGTAAGAGTATCCAACCTGCATAGGTGCTGCAAACAATTATAGGAGATAATCACAGAAAGCAATTAACTAGTGCACAATCTGAAATTAAATTTTGGCTATTACAGTGCCTCATCTAAATTGCTACTGTTTATTTTAATGTCTGCTCCTAATATCTTCTATTACACTAGCTGCTATATTTTGTTTACATTTTCTTCCTGGGAAAAGAAGACTAATAGCAATAACCCTGCTTCTTTAGTTTTGAAAACAACTGAAAAGAGGCTCCTTCACTCTATAGGTATATAACCAGAAATGCACATATGTGGGTACGTCATACCTTTTCAATTTGATCTGGCAGTAAGAGTTCACTGGGATCACTTAGGTTTGGTCGAAAAGATTCAGACTCCAGGTCTGCTTTCACTGGAGCAATCTGCTTTGAACTTATGTCTTCTCTTGTAGTAATCTAAAGAAGTAAACAGCAGCAGCATGTTAATATAAAATTACAACATGCATTAAAAAATTTCTGCCTTTTGAGAAAAATAAAACTTTGCACCTTAAAAATGGGGGCTAAAACTTTAATTTAGGATTTTAGAAGGCAAAGGATGCTCCATGTAATAACAATGGCATACCCAATGTAGAAAAGGATTTTTTTTAACTATAAGCAGATATTTTCTCATCTACCCTATGATGGATAATGATTAACATCCATATTTCTGTGTAAAATGAAAAGTCACATGCACACTTTAATTTTGCTACTGAAGGGCAAAAGTGAATAAGCTAGCTTGCTATTAATCTATGCTACTTAAAATAAGTGGGATTTTTTTTTTCCATGGTAAACATAAAGTTTGTCAAAAGTAATTAAGGAAACTTTCTGGGTGCCAAAATTTTAAAGAATAGTACAAGAAAAAATATAACTTTTTATCAGTATATGTGAATGCATGGATTTATTCACTTCATTGACAAAGTTACCGTTATTTTTAAAATTGTCTTATTTTTACTTTCTAAACACTGCTTTTTAAATCTAGTTTTACCGCACAATAAATTTACAAGTTTTTCATAACCGTATTTTAAAATTAGACGAATTTGATGCATTACAAAAGAATATATGCTTTTGCTTGACGGACAAGATCTGATATTCTTAAAATGATAAAAATGTTGATTAACTCAAAGCAAACTCCTCTACAATTTATTCTGTTGACACTTTTTCATATTAATTTTAATATATAAAACACAGTAACATTAGAAAATAAAAGATATAAAACATAATTATTACTGATGAAAATTTTAAATTGAAAACAGAATTCTTTTGGAGCAGATAACTAAAATGCAGCAATGCACAGCGACTGTGATTCCATTAAGAATGAAATCTTGCTAAATTATTTTGTTCCTTTTAGATTTCTTACCAAACCTAAATAGCGTATATTTTCAACCAATACATGTTCTAGCACTGTATTGTTTTTTGATGAGAAGTTAAATTATATTAAATCTTTCACATCATCATGTTTTACCCTTATTTTAATGATGATGTGAAAAGTTTTAAAAAATCCAAAGCAGCATGAGAAGCATTAAAAGAAAAAAACTCAGTAGTTCTAGCACAGCCATGAAAGTATATTTCATTAAGAAGAAAGCACACAATAATACACAAAACTGAAAAATGAGTTCAATTGTATCACTCTCTTGTTTATAAAAAAAATCACAAAGATTAATTCATGGAACTTTAAAAAATTTATCTAGTTCTGATGCCAAGAGTATACTATTCCAAAGTATTTCTAATACCAACCAGCAGTTCTTCAAGAAAAACAATTTATCTCATTAAAATATTTGATGTGGGGTTGATACAACTGAAATAGACTTGAGGAAGAGAAAATATTTAAGCCTTGCTATTCACTAAAGGTTTTTAAATTTTCCAATAGTACCTCATCTTTCAGATTCTGTTTAGTAAAGATTCAATCTCAAACCCAAAACATTCTTCCAATGTTAAAACTAAATGAACACTCCTCATTGCTCTAAGAAACACACAGTAGTAAGAACAGTTCTACAGTGACAGAAAATTCCTCTGAATGTTTTTTAAAGTGAAAAGATGACAGAAAAGATAATCCTAAAGCTCTTCAAGACACAACTATACTCTTTAATACAAAAAGGAATTTTCTGATGGGTTATTTTAGTGCTGCAGTCAAAACAAATCCTTTAAAAATGGGATTTGCCCTGACGAAAGACACTAAAAACAGGGAGTGTTCAATCTCCGGAGGGGTTTAAACTACTGAATGGGGCACCTGGAGACGTCTGCAGAGTGTGCGCAGTTCTTCAGTATTTAGAGCATCGATCCTGCGGTGATACTCAGCCACTGACACTACCTGAATATGGAGACAGGAAGACAATAATTCCACTGACAGTTGAGAAAAATAGCCAAAACAAAACAAAACAAAAAAAAAAATGGAGAAATTTAAATGGAGAAAGAGAATTGTAATCAGGGTTTCTTTCCCCACTCCATGCTGAAAATCCAGAAGATTTCTGTATCAAACTACAGCGAAGTACACATGAATGGGTTTAAAACCACTACATCCAACTGTTGCACAATATAAGATTTACGAACTGCTTCATATAGACAGAATTTGATTGAGTAAATAGAATTATAGTTGCTTATAAAGGAAACACTACAGAAAACAACATGCTTTGCTAACATCGAAGATAACATAAATCATAATGGTGGGTATCTTACAAAGAAAATGGTAACTTCAACTTTCCCCTCCAAATCAGTTTAGCTCAAACATGTATCCTAATGGTATGCTGGAAGAATTTCTTCTAGGCAAAGTAAGAAACATACTTATACTATATGATCTGTATCAGAAAAAAGGGGAGTAAGAATAAGATATGAAGTACGTTTAAAAACCTAAGGCAGTAAGAAAAATAAGATCCAGAAAGTAAAAATTAGATTTTCAAAAGTGTACCTAATCAACAGTATCTTCCCAGTCATGTCTACTTCTGTCCTTCACATGATTGTTTTCAGTTTTTGTCTTTCCTCTATATTATTTCTTTATGGTTGGTACTGCAGAAGCTATTTGTGACTAAAGCTTAATGACATTTCTACATTCTAAATTTCTAAGAAAATCTCTTTATCTTCTATAATTGCCTAGACCAGTCTCTTGAATAATGAATTAGAAAGCCATATATGACAGATGAACATTATTACAAAAAGTTCACAAAAATGACAAGTTCTCTCCGGTTAACACAACAGATACAGCTTTCTCAGACCATTACATAATTCCCAAAACAGAAACCATAATATAGTGAACTCTGGTGGTGTCATACATATGGGCTAACTCTCCTGAGCTACGACAGATTCCTCTTGTGATCAATGCTGTTTAGCCACTGGCCCATAAAGAGTTTAGACTTCTAACCTAGGTCTTAAAAAGCTCTTATGCTAGCCAACCAAAATAAATTAGCCACCAGTACACATCAAGGTAACTCTGAAGAGTTATGTAAACCTGTGGAAAGCCATGAAAGAGATGAAAATAGTAAAAAGGAAAAGAAGCTGGACTTCTGTTTTGGCACTGTATTGACTTTTATAAAGCAACAATGTGTGCCGTAAGAAACCCCAAATGGTTATGATCTCCAGCTCTGGAGGATCAGATGGATCTGGGTTCCGGCCCTTCTTTATCTATTTTTCCATAAAACATGGAAATAATAAGACCACATACAAAATAAGTCTTTTTTATGAAATAAAAAGATAAAATAAAATGCATATATAAAGGACTGAGTAGATAGAGAACAAACTATTGGTTGATGGAGGGAGGTGGGTGAAAGTTGGGTTACATGGGTACTAAGGACGGCACTTGTCACAATGAGCACTAGGTGTTGTATGTAAGAGATGAGTCAATGAATTCTACTCCTGAAACCGACACTGCACTATATGTTACCTAAAATTTAAATTAAAATAAGAAGGAAAAAATTAAAATGAAAAATGAAAAAAAAATAAATGCAGTATGGGATCCTGGAATAGAAAGGGGATATTAAGTGAACATCTGGTGAAATTTGAATAAAGCTTATGGTTTAGTTAAAAAAAAAAAAAAAATGGACAGAACTTTTAAAAGGCTTAAATTAATGGAGGGATATACTATGTCTGTGTCTAGAATTCTCAATATTGTAAATATGTGATTTTCCCTACGAGTTGGTGTATTGATATAATGCAACCTCAAGGAAATTTAAGAACATTAAAAAACATAGTAAAGGATTGAGTACAGTACCCACCACATAGTAAATGATAGCTATTATTATTAATATTACTTTTACTTAATCATTTTTCACCAAGCACTCTAAGGACTAAAGAATAATGTCTGAAGAGTCTCTTTATGTATGTATGTATGTATGTATTTACTTACTTACTTGAAGTTTATTCTGAGAGAGGGAGAGAGGAAACAAGCAGGGAAGGGGCTGAGAGGGAGAGAGAGAATCCCAAGCAGGCTCCATACTGTCAGCAAAGAGCCTGACTCTGGGCTGCATCTCAAAAAATGTGAGATCATGACATGAGTCAGACCCAGGAGTCTGATGCTTAACCAACTGAACCATCCAGGTGCTCTTCCTTACTTATTTTTGGTTTTTATTTTTGATAGTAAATTATTTCAGTTTTGAGAGCTCAACTATCTTATATACTCTGACTACTCTGAACTTAATTTTAAATTTCAGTATTAGATATATTAAAGACCTTTCAGGGCACCTGTGTGGATCAGTTGGTTGTGTCCAACTTTGGCTCAGGTAATGATCTCATGGTTTGTGGGTTTGAGCGCTGCATCGGACTTTGTGTTGACAGCTCAGAGCCTGGAGCCTGCTTCAAATTCTGTCTCCCTCTCTCTCTCTGCCCCAGTCCCCACTCATGCTCTCCCTCCCGCTCTGTTTCACTCTCAAAAATAAACAAACATTAAAAATGTTAAAAAAAAAAATAAAGACCTTTCAATTAAGAACAAAAAATTTTTCAATAAAGATGAAAACAAGCTAGGTTCTAAAAAAAAAAAGAAATCACTGCCTTGCTTTTATGTGGCCAGTAAAAAGGCATCTCTACAAAATATTTAATGGCGAATTATATTCTTCTTTTTCCCCCCCACAGCATTCAATCTAATCAAGTCTCCGCGCCAGGAGTTTTCAAGTTATAGGACATACCTACTCCTCTGCATTCCTTCTACTCTTCTAGTTAACACTAATTTTACACTTATTTCTCAAAGCACCTTCTTTTACCATGTCAAACACATTTCTTCAATGGAAAGAAAATTAAATTATGCTCACAAAAGGAATCACTTATAGTCTAACTGTATCAATGTCACTGAGTTAGGGTATCAGTGAGGGAAGCATGACTGCCATTCTAAGTATAAGCTTGTAACATGTAGTAAAGTTACAGTTTCTTTAATGTCACAAATCTACCTTTTCTGGTTCACACTTCTTTTGCAAAAAATATTTTGGGACTTATAAACTAATCACTTCCTTAATTCTAAATATTTCCTCATGCCGTGATGAATGAAGATACATAAAACTGTCAAAAGAGTCTGTGAATTAATAAAGAAAAAAGGTTTGAAATCAAGTAAGCACAGAAACATACATCATCTCAAAATACATGAATGTAGATGCAGATTCCTAGTATATATGATGGAACTGCAATTAGTCTTAAATTAATTTTTATCCCCTTGGTAAACCATACTCCATGTACAGAATTTATTTACCCAAAAGATTAAACCTAAGTAGAAAATGGACACATTTCTACAAAATGTCCTACATACACCCAATTATTAAGGGTGCAGAGTTGAAGAAACCAAGATCTCAATGAAAAGTGTATTCACTGTCTCACTAGAAAGTCATTTCTTGAGGAGTACAGTGGTTTGCACATACTGCTAAAACCCCCTCTATGGAAACTCAGGAGTCTGACCTGCTCTCTGCACAAGTGCTACTCTCCAGTCTTTTCAGTCTGACAAAGGACTCTCACATAGAGAAAGTGTTTCTCTAAGCATTTATTTTCACAGAATACAAATGCAAAGACAGGATTAAGTCTGTCCATCTCTATTACAGAGGAACTAACAATAACCAGTACAGAACAAACGCTACAGCTAGAGAAAAGGTACAGCTGCTGTCAGTGCCACAAGTTCTTCTCCTAGACAAAAAGATCAATATTATGGTCTAACAGTCCTCCTTCCAGGATGTTCCAGGACTTCCCCATGAGATTACCCCACAAACAAACCAAAACCTCCCTTCCTCTAACTGCCCGGCAAGCTAACAAAACCTGGTAGATAACTGTGAATGTGCTGTTTTTATTCCCTACTTTCATTCTTTGGTGAAGGGAGATAGAGTAGAAACAAATGTATTACCTAATCAATGCCATTTAGACTTACTTTGGTACCCAAAAATATGTTTAACAAGGAGGAACTGTAAGTTTAGGTTACAGTAGCTAACAAAAAGGGCATACAACAGCGTTCTTGATATCATATAACCTTCTGTTCTACACATATACAACAAAGTCTTTATTACAAAGTAAGACCTAGATTATGTTAAAACTTTGCTCCTTTTTGCCTTAAACCACTGCTCTCAAAGTAACATTTTATGGGACTATAATAAATAAGGTATAAAAGATGCAAATAGAGAATCATAAATTAGAAAGCCAAAAAACAGAAGAGGAAAAAAAGATGTAATACAGAATGAATTGAAAATAGAACATATTATTAAAGTTTTGATTTGAATAAATCATCTATATTTAAAGTTACTTCCTCTTACATATATTTGCAAGTGACTCCTACTAGATTTTTTGGAAGAAGGCAGATATATTCACTGTTCTTTTAATCAAAAAGAAACCTGTTAACTACTCAAAACCATTCAATTACACTGTGTGTATGCTGTTTTAGCGTTTTGGCACAATAAATATAAGAAGTGAATGTCATATAAAAGGGAATAATCTTATTTTCTCCATGGTATATCAGGGGAAAAGAATACTCATCACATTATCTTGAAATATATAAATCCATTATTGGCAGTTGGGAGACTTCAAAACTCCTCTAATCAGTAATTTACAAATCCAGCTGGCAGAAAATCAGTAAGAACATAGTTGAACTGAAAAAAACCCTCAATTAACTGGATCTAACTGACATATACAGACATATACAGACTACTCATCCAAAAACAACAAAACAAAACACCTTCTTCTCAAACTCACATGGAACATTCATTAAGACAGACCACATTCTGGTCCATAAAACATATGTTAACAAACAGAAATCATAAAAAGTATGCTCTCAGACCACCAAAGAATTAAACTAGACATGTGTAACAGAGAAAGAGTGGGAAAATCCACAAATACTTTTAAACCACACATTAATGCATA